TATATATTGATTTTTAATTTTACCTCTTGTGCTTTAGTAATCTTGTTAAGAGATTCAGGTCCTATTCAGACATAATGAAGATCTGGGCCTATGTTTTCTTCTACTAGGCACAGCATCTCTGTTTGGGCCTATATTTTMTTCTACTAGGCACAGCATCTCTGTTCTAGTGACTCTGTCTTTGATCTACTTTGAATTGATTTTTATGTAGGGTGAGGGATAGAAGTTTAATTTCATTTTATTACATATGGATTTCCAGTTTTCCCATCACTATTTGTTGAATAGGCCATCTTTTCTCCAATGTATGTTTTTGGCACCTTTGTATGAGATAACTGTATTTATGTGGGTTGGTCTCTGTGTTATCTATTTTATATTATTGATCTACATGTCTATTTTGGTTCCAATGCCATGACATTTTTGTTACTATTGCTCTGTTATTATAGTTTAAGATCTGGTATTTTGATACCTCCTGCTTCAATTTTCTTGCTAAGGATTGCTTTGGCTATTCTGGGATTTTTATTTTTCCACATGAATTTAAAGCTTGCTTTTGCTAGTTCTATAAAGGATGTCATGGGGATTTTAATCACAATTGCATTAAATATGCAAAAACTTTTACTGGTATGTCCATTTTGACAATATTAATTTCTGCCTATCTGAGAGCGTAAAAGATCTTTTCATCTTCTAAGGTCTATGTCAATTTCTTTCTTTAATGTTCCATAGTTTTAATTGTAGAGATCTTTCACCTCATTTGTTAGATTGATTCCCAAGTATTTTAATTTTTTTGAGACTTTTATGGATGGAATAGTTTTCCTAATTTCTCTTGAAGTGGATTCATCACTTGTATAAAAATGCATTTGATTTAGGGGCATTGATTTTATATCCTGGCACTTTGCTAAATTCATCTATTAGTTCTAGAAGTTTTCTGGTGGAGTTTTGTGAGTCTTCTAAGTATAGAATCATGTCATCAGCAAGCAGTGACCATTTGAGTACTTCTTTTCTTATTTATACCCCTTTAATTTCTTTTATCTGTCTAATTTTCTTTGAAAAAAAACAAATAAAACTGATAAACTCTTAGATACACAAATTAAGATAAAGAGAGAGAAAAATCAAATTACTAAAATTTATGATGAAAAGAGAAATTTCAAGACCAACACTACTGAAAACTCCACCAGAAAATTTCTTATTGTGTTCGAAGTCCATGTGAGTGATATGTTGTTTCTCAACATCTCACCTTCAGTCTGTGGATGTCTTTTCCTAGGAGATGAGTCTCTTGAAGACAACATATTATTGGGCCTTTTTTTGTAATTCTATATGCCAGTCTTTGTCTCTTGATTGATGAGTTCAGGATATTAACATTTAGGGTTAGTATTGAGATATGATTTGTGTTTCTAGTCATTTTGGTTCATTTTTGGTTTTTAACTTGACTTTGTTTCTTCTTATATTGACCTATCCTTTAATGTAGTTCTTCTCTTTGTTCCTCCTCCTCCTCCTCCTCCTCCTCCTCCTCCTCCTTCTTCTTCTTCTTCTTCTTCTTCTTCTTCTTCTTCATTTCTTCCTCATGAAATATTTTGCTGACAATGTTTTGTAGTGCAAGAATAAGCAAGTACAAAGGGCTTATTTAATGAAATGAAAGTGAAAGTACACTTCAGAGAATGTAAAGTAGGCTGTCCTAGGAGGGGGGGGCTTAGCCTTTTTTCTTCTGAATTGTGGGTTTTTATAGGCTGTCACCCCATGAAGCCTCGTATCCCATAAATTTTTCCTTTGATGTGGTTACAGTCACTTCCTGCCTTGACTCAGTGGGCTTCCATCAACTCTGCCATGTCAGAAATTTTTTCATTAGTAATTAAGGGAAAGCCATGGGGAAATTAAAATCACAATGTAAATAATATTACAGTGAATCAGAGACATCCAAAGGACAGAGACTCAATGTCCTATGCATTCTCACAGGCTGGAAAGTCCCTTAATATGATTCCATCCAGTTCCTTTTAGTTTTAAGGAGGTAACATCTGGCTATGAAAGAAATTGTTTATGAGTAGGGTTCTCTGTCACCCAATGTGAARTTTTGTCACTTGAGATGGAGTGAGCCCTATTTTTGCTCCCCCAACTCCCTGTTTGTGTCTGCCTAACTATATACTTTAATATGATTAGTAAGATAACTTAATCTTAGATTCAAAGAGAAGTATGACTCAAAGTAGTATGCCAAGAGAAGGGCACATATGGGAAAACAAGTCACTTTGATACTGAGAGCTCTGTCCTTATTCCTGATGCTTATCCAATAATAAGGAAAATGTTTTCATAAAAAGGAAAAAGAAATTATATTGTTAGGCTAGATACACAGGACAGGGATTTTAGAGGGGGAACATAAAGACTACTCTCCAGCTTTGCCATTTAAGGAGTCAAAATTCATTTGTAGCCTTGAGAGGTAGCCACTTCTTAGATCCTCCAGTGCTAGCCCTGAAGACTGGATTCCTTCATTGCTGTTGGCCTGTGAGCCAAAGTACAGAAAACTCAGCTTTGGACAGGAAGAAGGTTAATTTTGCTTCCTCTGTGGTTAGGGAAGGACAGAGAAAAAAGAGGAAGGGAAAAAGCATTACTTTCAAAGTAAGCTGCAGTGGCAGAGCAGCATGAAATGGAATACTATGACATTTAGCTGAATGGATCCTTAGGAGGATAGATGTGAGATGTGATAGTTTTGTGAAAATGTCTGTGGTGTGAGTTATTCTTTCCTAATTATTCCTAAGGGGAGGGATTTATGACAACTGAGTTCTTTTTGGAGCTCTGCTTTTAGACACATCAAGGATTTTTGGAATTTGATCACCTTAAACACAAAATAATAATTTCTCCCAAACTTACCCTTTCTGTACTCAGGACTAAAGGCCCTCTGAGCTTCTCTGGGATGTATCTAATGAACTCTAAACGATCTAAACCAATATAGCTCTGTCCAAATGTTTAAWACCATCGAGAATAAGAGAGATACCTGTTAATTATAATGCTTTATTGGAAGGAGAAAGCTAGAAAGATAGGAGTGACAAGAATGTGTCTTTATTTACAGTTGTCACTGTAAATTGAGACAATGCTTGACTGAGGTAGGGGGAGTTATGATCATTATTGGAGAKAAGGTAAAGGGTTGGAAAATTACTGACAAAGAACTTCCATATAGGTTTTAAATTATCATAATTGTCAAGATGTTAAACTTTAAAATTGTATGTGACAGTGTAAATCCTACAATGCAGCTCTGAAAACACATACCTTGGTGTTCACAGATTGCCCAATCACTTGTATATTTTTTCCTTAGGAAAGAAAAGGTCACACAAAAACAATGAGAGATTTCTTTGTGTTATAGCTTGCTTCAGCTTTATGGAATTCTCACTGTCTTTGATGTTTCAAGGAGAGGTACCTCAGTTAATGAGCAAAGCAAAATGTACCTTTCACCTCAACTCCCACTGGTTCACAGAATATTTGTGACAGTTCAAACAGTCAGTGCTGAGGCCCTTTTGGATATAAGCACTGTGGGGCAATGGCACTGGGAAGTTCACACTAATGACAGTTGTGAAATCATAGGATTTACCTCTGTGGAAATCATTACCTGAGAACAAAGTAACTGTCAGCTTGGATCTTGCACTGATACTATTTTCTTTGTGCAATACATCTTGACTTACTTACAAATTCTCCATGGGTAAGCCAGGCTCTGTTTTATCAAACCTGTGTAACCCATGGTGGTTCTGCTGTATTTTTTCCCTTCTTCTTGCTCTATCTGAATATTCAGTAACCTCCCTCATCCAGATTGTTTGAAACATACTATTCTGGCCTGGACATCCTTAAAAGACATCCCATGTTGGAGTGATGTCTCCAAATTTTAAACTGAGCCTTTTGCAGTTTGTTCTGTGTTTGTGTTTGCTTTTCTAATCAGTAAACATCTTTCTTAAGTTTTAAGCACCTGTCATGCTTTCTTATCCTCTGGAGTACTTCATTCTAGATTTTGAATTTCTACTTAAGATACATTGTTCTTCAGTCTGGTTAGGTATTACTAATGAGACCATTACCATTGATATTCTATGAATATCAACTGTAATATATTCAAGTTAATCGAGTAGAACTTGAATATATTACAGTTGAGGCTATTGGAAAATGCTGGTGTTTAAACATCTCTCARATGCTGATATGTACTTTACAGAGTGTAACCAGGTGTAAGTGGAACAGTGAGGCTTTAGGAGAATCTGTTAGTTATTTCAAATAACTTTTGTTGTTGTTCTGCTGGTGATGAAACTCAGGAATCCTACATGCTTAGCACTGGGTCTACTGCTGAGCTGTATCCCCAGGCTAAATTGAAGAAACTTTGATCATCAGATGTGTTGTTTTCCAAAAGAAATAAATGGATCACAAAACAAATTAAAGGAATTGAGAGATGCCTGAGTCTTCTTTCTTATAGGTCCTGACTAGTGATTGACATCCTTTGTATACTAGACTTTTGTTCAATAATCCTTTTTCTTCATTGATATTGTTCTTATTTTCTGTCTGAAATTTAATCAGTATGCTTCCTTGAGTGTATTCAATGCAGACCTCAATTGAACTTTGTTCAAAATGTAGCAATATATCTGTATATATTTATGCTTACATTGGTCCCATGAAACGTGGTCTCAATGCCATCAGGGGATTAACAAGTGGAGGCAAATCTTCATGAGTATAACAGAAAGTATAAGCAAGACTTTTCTGTGCAGTTTCAGTGTGCTTTAAAAATCCATTTATGGAATAAGTGTTGATTGAGCCTTTGCTGTGCATGTGCAATATGGTCTTAGGTGCTGGGGATAACATACAGTTGGGCTAGTTTGTAGATTTATTCCATTCCAAGGACCAGAAAGTCTTATTAGGTCAAATTTATGATTGACATTCTTCTGTTGGTCATATTATGAGCTAATGAGGAGAAAAAGGTAGGGCATGATATAAAATGTGGGGAGATGGAGCTAAAGGTATAATTGAAGACATCATTCTTAGAGACAGGAATATATTGCCTGGGTTAGATCCACCAAGATCTTCAGTCAGGAAAGTCATTTTGGAGGTCTTTGTTGAATAAGCCAAATTTGTCTTATTTTTTGGGTGTTATCATAAATTATAATGAAAAGGAAGGTGAAAATATAAATGTATTCACATGTATATATATATATATACATATATATATATATATATACACACATATATGTATATGCAAAATTTTAGTTGAACCACAGACTTCCTGACTAGTTCATTTTTCAATTTGCACAACATTTCAATCCAGAGAAGCTGATGGATATGGGCTGTATGCAGGAAGAAAATGACCCACAAAATATATATCCTTTTATAGGTTGTTGGATGTCTTAGCTGCAAGGAAAGATCCACGTGGATTATCTGGAGAAGTTTTGGTAAATGGAGCCCCTCGACCAGCCAATTTCCCACATCATTCAGGTTATGTGGCACAAGTAAGAATTAGTGGATTTGCCTTTTAGCTTCCCCCTATTTCTATATATGCAAGATCCTTGGCTTGTAGTTTACCATGCTTCCAATTGAATATAAGACATGATTCATGAACCACCTTTCTTTTTACCAGCTTTTCATAATCTCCTATAAGAYTGAGGGTGGGATTAAATTAAAAGACTGAGAGGACCTTGAATATGACCCCTGTAAGGTAGTGGTGTCATTTCTGGCTGTTGTATTATTCCAAAATTGTCTCTTCTTCTCCCATTTTGCCCTTATTGCACCTTTCTCCTTCCCCCCAGAAGATGCATTTGTTAAATCTTTATACTAAACAATCTGGAAGTGTCTGGATATAGTGAGCATACTCACTCTTGCTTCGTCTCGGTGTGCAGATAGGGATGAAATGCTTCCTTTAGGCTCTGCAGTTTTCTGTACGTGAAGCTCTGCAATTTGTGGAGCTGAAAGTTTACCATCAGCTATAACTTTACCTTGGCTTTGTTATTTTTATGGACTAAGTTACATTCACTGTAAGGGTGGTCTTAGGAAAAAACTCACTGTGCCTTAATGAAATACCATTTGCATTCAGAGCAATCCTGTGATGGACACCCTGATGGTGAGAGAAAACTTACAGTTTTCAGCGGCTCTTCAGCTTCCAACTATGACGAATAATGAAAGAAAGGAACAGGTTAACAAGGTCATTCAAGAGTTAGGCCTGAGAACAGTGGCTGATTCTAAGGTAATGTGAAAAAACCCGATAGAGTCAGTCAGGAAAGAGGACCTCCCTGGATCAACAATGTAACCTTAATCAGAAGTTTCCTAGAATGTGTGTGCTCACAGTGGATGTTTTCTGTAGTGATGGGGGAAATGACTGGTTCTATAATATGAAGGTGGAAATGAAGCTGGAGAAACAATCTTAATCATGGGTGAATCCCAGGAAGGGATTATGTTCCAGTGTAGAGGGTGCTCCTCACATGGGCATTTCTATGGTCTGCCCACCCTCATTGTTAAGTCAGGCAAATTTGATGTCTTTGCACTGACTGTTCTTCCCATTTTGTTCTTCCCCTTTTAGCTGTTTTACTTCCTTTCTTCCTCTGATGAATTTTGTTCCATTGCTCTATTGAGATATTTTTCTAGAAATGATAAAAGATGAAATTCCAAGGACTTTTGCTATGTCTCATTATGGGGTAATTTGGCTTCCATAACTATATTTAGTATATTTATTAGTATTTACTTCTAACTTTTGTAGTGATCAAGGTAGTATTCTATAGCTTTTCTTTGGAAGTTTTTTTCTCTCAAACCCTTACTTTCTCCATTCTTCCTTTCTTCTATCAATATTTATTTTTAGATTCTTATATGTCAGGATCTTTTAGGACTGGGAAGCACAATTGTGGACAAGAATAAGAAAAAATGTAGAAAGTAACTTGTATCAACTCCAGCCACTTGACATCTCTTCCCTGAGCTTCATTTATTCATTTTGTGAAAGAGAAAAACTTGTCTTTCTCCCAGGGTTCCATTTAGTTACTGTTCAGAAGAATTAAGATAACAAGATTAAGTATTTCTAGTAGGGCTGGCACAGGTTAGTACACTAATTATAGTGACCATGACCATTCTTGTTGATAATGTAATAATCTGTATTTTAGATTATATGTTGTGRAGCAAGAAAAAGGACCTGTATAGCAATGGAGCTGATTAGTGATCCTTCCATCTTGTTCTTGGATGAACCCACAACTGGTTTATACTCAAGCATAGCAATTTCTGTCCTTTCATTCCTGAAAAGGTAATTTCATTGGGAACAATTTTCTTTCATTTATTTAATATCTGATTACTTCTATGTACCTGATATTCCTGCTGTAGGGAATTCCAACATGAACAGCAAAATTTCATTCTTTGTTAGAGGGAAATAGTCAATTAACAAAGAAGTATTATCAATATTATGAAACAAAATATTAGGGAAGGCAAGTCTTGGTGGTGGGTGGAAAGCTGTTTTAAAGAGCCGGGAGGTTAGGGAAGACCACAAGCATGTGACACGAGAACTGCAGGGACACAGTGAGCAAGAGCTGGTATATATATGCAGAAGAATCCTGGTTGGAAGGACCAGCCAGTGACTCTGAGGCAAAAAATGCCTGATGCCTGTGGACCATCAGAAAAACCAGAGGGAAAGAAACCAGTGACCAAAGAGAGTGGAGGTTGGCCACTGTACTGCTATAGCAAGACCACAGGGTGGGGGCTGAGCAACAGAAATCACTTTTCTTTCAACTCCGGAGATTTTAACTTTAAATCAAAGTGTCCATAGGATTGTTTACTCTGAGGAAGGAAAATTGGCTTATAGGTGGCCATCTTCTTTCTCTCTGTTTGTGTCCTAATCTCCTCTTGACTATCAGACAAGGACCCTCGGTGACCTAATTTAACCTTAATGGCCTCTGAGAAGATTTCATCTCCAAATGTAGCCACATTCTGAGGTACTGGCAGTTAGGACTTCAACATTCATGTTTCGGGAAGCCACAGTTCAGCCCATCACAGTTAGAATATAAGGCGAGGTAGAGGTAGACTGGTGGCAGGTTATATAGATTTCATTGTCCACTGTAAGACATGGCTTTTCCTGTTTCTAGAGAATTTGGGAGTGTCATGAAAGGTCAGAGCAGAGCAATGGCTGTGGGGAAGGCTGTGCAGACAGTCCAGGGAGAGTGAAGGACACCAGGGAGGAACTCAGGCATGATGGGGCCTGGACCAGGATGCTTATGGTGAGGAGGTGAGAAGAATATGGGTTTGATCTGTTTTGAAGGTGGAATCAATAGGATCTGCTCAGAAAGTGAACCTGGGGTGTGAAGATTGGGAGAAAGACTACTGAACAAAAGAATGAAGTAAAAGGAGACAAATAAAATGTCATTTTCTTCAATCAAGAAAGGAGGCTATGGTGTTAATATTTATAGGAAACATTCAAAGTTAAATTTTGCACATCTTATAATGAACAAAAGATTAGTTGAAAATTGACAGAAAAACTTCAAGAAGAGTACTGAGAAATCTCATCTCTATCACCTAAACTCCCCAGCTATTACATTTTAGTACATTTCCTGCTTCTTCCTCCAACTCTGCTCTCTCTTCCTATAACTTTTCTGACATCATGCCCCACCCCCTAAGCACCTCCAAGGGCAAGTCCAAGAGGCAAGGACCTGCTACAATGCCATTTCCCAAGAAGGAAGTCAACAATTATGGCTTTACCACTGTGCAGTCCCTGGACTTCAGTCAGATGTCACCAGGTCTCCCTGAAGTCAGTTTCTTTTTTTTTTTTTTTTTTTTTGCCTCTGGACCCTTTATAGAAATATGCAATTTTTTTCTTTTTTCATTTTTTCTAACCTTGGAGAGTTCCTCAGCCTCCCTGTCTGTCATGTCCTTTGAATTCTTAGCTAGTTGAAGGGGTGATCCTGGCCTGGGGCCATACTTGTGTTCTACCTGCAGATTCAGACTATGAAATGAGGTAGTTCCTCTGCATGATGTACTTGAGGCTTCACCCATCTCTAATGATGAGAACCACCATCAGCTGATCATAGTGGTGGCTGTTGGACTTCTCTGATGGGAAGTTATTATTTCTTTCCTGTGTAGTTGATTACTGTTCTGTTGGGAAGGGTATTCAGTTTTTATGTCAACATTCTGTCCTTATCAAATCTCTCCCCCAACAGTTTTAGCACACACAAATAATGCTTGCCCTTGTCCTAGTTGATATTCTTCAGAAGGAAGAGGTTTCTCTCCTTCATTATTCATTTCCCATTGGACTCAATATATTAAACCTGGTGTTCACTGTTTTGATGACCAAATTTGTCCTGATTTGACCAGTGKAAGCCTCTTTAATGTGGCTTTACTTTGCTTTTGACATCTTCTAAATCATTCTAGCATTTCTTTACTTTATGGTCACTATAATGTTCTAGGCTCATCATGTACTTTTCCTATGTGAGATGTTTTTTATAGGGTCCCTGGTTCCATCTGCTGTAGTTAATATTTAGAAACTAAGATATGTTTTTTTTAGTGACTTCACTGCTAGTTATGGGACATTGCTTCTAGATCTTTAATAGACAGACCTAGGAAATACACAATATGAATGTGTATGTATACACATATATGTACATATATAAATATACTTCTGTGTTTTTTTGGAAAATACAATAAGTATAATACCTTTTATGATTTTATAAGGTTTTTTGTGTATGTGTATGCATATGTGTGCAAGAAGTGCAAGAATCAGATATTTAATGGCTAATAGTTTTCCTTTTTTAACTTAGCATTTCTAAGCAGGGAAGAACAATCATCTTCACCATTCATCAGCCTCGCTATTCCATTTTCAAGCTGTTTGACAGCCTCACCTTATTGGCCTCAGGAAAACTAATGTACCATGGTCCTGCACAGGAGGCTTTGGAGTACTTCAAATTAGCAGGTATGGTGACATTTTCATGCACTAGATCCTTCTTTTATAGACTCCTGGAAAGAGCAGAGGGGTAAGCAGGAGTGCTGCTTGATCTCTGTATAGATTGGGTTCCAACACTGTAAAGCTTCTTCAGTCAGTTTGGTGCTAAATTTTGGGCACCAAAATTTTGCTTCATTTTGCAGCACTTGCTTGTTCTGTAGGTCTTTCTCCTTTTTGTATTTGAGTGTGTGTGTGTGTGTGTGTGTGTGTGTGTGCATGTGAGTGTTTCTACTAAACTTTTGTTCTGCTTCACAGTTATAGTGATCTTTCCCTAAAAGGTCTATGATTAACTGGTTTGACCAACAGCCAGTTATTCCATAAATTGAATATTTATTGAAAGGCCCAACATTATCTTCATCTTGACCATATAGCAGATTGTGGTTTTTCAGCTTTGCTTCTGACATATGATCATGCTCTACCTTCATGAGGGCTCATTGGCATGTTACTTTATTTTCTAGTAAGATTAGATTGCAGATTTAGGCCCTGAATGTATTTGAGTGACCTGCTAGTCATTAGAGTGGCTGGTTCTAAATATGACTTTGATGCACCAAAATTTCTGGCCTACCTGCTTCTTTGTATTTCAGGTTGAATTATGTGATTTTTTAAATGGATTGTGTGATCTACTTTATTTTAGAGATTTGGATATGATTATAGATGTTTCTCTATGATCCCAAATGCAGTTTAAATATTCACTAGATAGTTTTCTTAATTTTTATTTAATGTCTATTATTTAAAAATGATGAAGCATTCATGAGTTTGTGGAATCCAGAGTAGATGAGCTTAGGAGTCAGACCTTAGACAAAGTTTAGATGATTGTGCCACAAGAATTTGAGGTAAGAGCCCAAGTGTGCTATTCTGGTCACCTTCTCTTGATAATGCTGCTTTGGATATTTCCCATCTATTTGGAATTATGGCAGTTTGAGAGGTGATCATTTGGACCTCTGTATTAAATGGAAGAGAAGCAATCACTGATGACATGCATAGMGTCATTACAGGATTTTCCAGGTGAACTGAGCATAGTGACCCCAGGAATTTAATATTTTTTTTCCTTGAACCTAGCTTTAGATTTATGAAGAAGTCCTGATAAGCACCAGGGCATTTTAATGGTTCTTTGGTTTCATGATTTATGATGAATAAGGACTAATGTCAAATGTTCTGAAGAGTCAAATTAGCGGAGAAATGAGTAAGAAGATGAAGGAGAATTTGTTAGATTCTACTTTTTTCTAGCCTCACCTCCATCACTCTCTGGAGGTGATCCTAGTTTGTTCCCAAGACCATCAGGTTGTGTTCTTTGGTTTTCTTTCATAGGCTACCAGTGTGAGCCCTACAACAACCCTGGATACTTCTTTGTGGATGTGCTTAAGAGAGACTTCTCTGCTGTGGTATTAAATAGAAAGGAAGAAGACAGTGAAGGTATGTGAATCTCCTAAAATCTCCTAGATTCTCTTAAATTTTTGCCTGATTTGGTGAAAGCTTAGAAATCTACTGGTTCATTAAACATTGCTTTTGAATTCACATTAATGTTTTGTTCTGATACAAGTCAACAGACTTTGTTTCCATGAGTGCTGTATTTTTATCTAAATTATTAATGTATATTTATATGATACTGTGAGTTGTAAAGTGTGTTTCCATTAAAAATAAATATGCTTTTAAAATAAGAAATTTGGCACCTAATACATTTGCACATAGTAGAAAGCAAGGACCAGATTTTATATTAAGAATCATAACTGTGGTAAGATTTCTACATTAAGAACTAGAGTCCCAATAGTTAGGAAGATGTCAGTTTTCTGTATCCATAAGATTATGACAGAAGTCAGGTCAATTAAGCATATTTATTAAAGTGTGAAGCAATGGCAACAATTGTGATTTTTATATATTCAAGCTTTAGAATTAAGGTGTTATCCAAGAAATGGGTCACATAAAAATAGGTTAAATCAGCTGTTATCTGTTAATAACACTTCCCTTCTTTATCCATTTTATTCCAAAGCTAACGGGGTCAAACAGATTTCCAAGAGAGAAAAGCCAGTCGTAGACACATTAGCTGAATTTTATACCAACTCCTCCTTCTACAGAAACACAAAAGCTATATTACAGGAGCTCTCAGATGGACAGAAGAGGAGCTCAGGCTTTAAGGAGATCACTCACGTCACCTCCTTCTGCTATCAGTTCAGATGGATTCTCTGGCGTGCATCCAAAAACCTTCTAGGTTTCCCCAGGGTCACTATTCCTCAGGTAACCTACCAGACTCTTGTGCTCTTTTATACTAATGTGGGAACAATTTGGTTCTGATATAGTCTCTATCAGGATTATGTGTATCTTCTATGTACAATTCCATTTACTTGTCATCCCCACTCCATTTGATATATAAAAATTGTCAGTAGAACAAGTAAAACATACATTTTTACATATAGATAGCTGTTTTTGTTGTTTTCTTTGGTTTTTTGTTTTTGCAGAACTGGGGGTTGGACCCATGGTTGCTCTACCACTGAGCTGTATTCCAGTCCTTTACATTAAAAAAAATTGATACAGGATCTCACTAAAATTTTGAGTCTGGCCTTGAACTTGTGATCTTCCAGCTTCAATCTCCCTAGTTGCTGGGATTACAGGTGTGCACCGCCAGACCTAACAAGGCTATTTATTCTCTCATTACCTCTCTTAACTAAGATGAGAAGATGCTCCTTTTTTCTTTTGTTTGGCTCTAGTGTGGTTGTTGATTATCACTCTTGAAGGTTTTGTTGTTATTGTTGTTTTTACTTTTAATCTCTGTCTCACACAAAACACTAGTTCTTCCAGACATTGGTTCATCATTTATATAAGGAAATCAATGTTACTAGTTTTGGGGGGGTATTATTTTTATTATCATTCATGGAGTCTCTGTTGAGTGCTGAAAGATATTATGTGGTTRGTTCTAAGAAATACTGGTGGCTACTTGTGCACCATAATTGTCATATAGAAGTATTATCACTTTCCAACTATATCTGAGGGTCTAGATGACTTTTGAATTATACTGTCAATTTTTCCAAATATTTTGATCCTTGTGATTTGGCATTTCTGTCGGAACATGAACACTTTCATGTCCTGTCAGTCAAGGGTACAGTTTTCTTTTTTGAGAATATATTTGATGTCATTTGGAGCATGTTAGGTGTATTAGATCTATCAACCTGAGTTACCCATTTTCAAACAGTGATGTGATATAATGAGTTGATTCTTCCCTGTGATTTGGGCTTTTCTTTGAATTACTTACCTCTAAATTGGTTTATAAGTGTCTTGTCCAAAACACATATGTGGTAGCTAGTTTGGGCAGGAATGATAAGAGCACAGCTATTTGCAATGTACCCGAATTATGTAAATTGTGCTTTGTTTCAGTCCTAGGCTTCTTATTTTTTTTCTGTGTGTGTGTGTTTGTGTGTGTCGTGTGTGTGTGTGTTTGTGTGTGTGTGTGTGTGTGTCGTGTGTGTGTGTGTGTGTGTGTCGTGTGTGTGTGTGTGTGTGTGTGTGTGTGTATGTGTGTGGGTGCAGCACCATTTCCTGGGCTTCCTTAAGGTGCAAGCAGCAGGCCTAGAGCCTCCAGTTTGCATGTTCAGCCCATTTGCCTCATCAGTAAACTCTGTTCCACAAAGGCAATTCCAGCAAGGTTAAGAGAACAGTGGTTTCTAGAATAAGAGTTGAAACTTGTAGCTCCCAAGCTTAGTGGGACAACTTTTGTTAAGTTTGTTAAATACTGGAGTTTGGTGTAGGAGTAGGAAAACTCTTTTAGTCAAGAGCTAGATGGTAATTATTTTAGACTTTGCAGACCAACATGGTCTTTATCTCAGATAGACAACCCTGTCATTTAATGTGAAAACAGCATAAGCAAATGAACCTGGCTGTGTTCTGATGAAACATTATTCATAAACATTGAATATCTAGTAAATTTCATATAGTGGGAAATATTATTCTTCACCTATTTTTTTGCCAACTCTTTAAAAAYATAAAAACCATTCTAACTTTTGCTCAGAGCAAAAATAGGTGCTGRCCCTATTATGGCCTCTAGGCTGCAGTTTATTGGCCTAGGGTTTTTAAAATTCTATTTTTTTTTTTTTAGGTTCCTAAGTTTTGAACATGGAGTTGTGAAAATGTTTTTCTGATTCTCTGTTTATAATATCTTGTGTCTGTTCTCTCAGAGCCCTAGTTTGAGTTGAACTAGTTACATACATGATTCAGACTTGCTTTGTAACCAGAAGTTGCATTTATTTGGAACATCTTGGAATGAACTGATTATCTATATGAGAAGATTTAGAGTTCATTTAATGTGCCAAGGATTTTCTGATCTAATAAATTTGAAGGACTTTATTATTAATTTTTGAGACAGTCATTTTTTTCCATTAGAATATTAAGCCTTTGGTTTATTAGTGAAAACAAACAAAAAAAAACATCCCTCAGAACACACCTTGAGAAATAAAAAAAAAAACACATCCCTCAGAACACACCTTGAGAAATGTTGGTTAAACACATTTAATCAAAAACAAACAAAAAAAAAACTTTGTTCAGGAATCTATTTTTTTATCCTTCTGTTAAAAACAGAAGCCACATGTACAAAACTCATAGAGTATCCTTTGCCCAATTTTGCAATATTTAGTTTGCCTACTGGTTTGCTTTTTCTTCATRCAAGAAAAATTACACATGGACACCTCATAAAAGTATAACATGATTACAGTATTCAGAGATTTGTCAATGTGTTTGAAAGTGACTAAAATATAGTTTAAAAGCTTTGAAACTTTTAAGAAACATTCCAATAATAACATTCTGTATAAAATGTCATGTCTGAATGCTAAGAAACAAAAAATGCATAGTCTAGTTTGAAACACTAAATATTCTAAAGTATACCATATGAAAATACAGACTCATATACATGTTCATGCTGCATGTTGGCAGAGCAATAGACATTGATTTGGAACATTGCTCTGCTGACATGAAAGAGAGTCTATTCTGAAAGTAATGAAGATATGCAGAATGGAGTTTTCYTCAGGATTTCTCTATTATTAGCAAAGGGATGTTTACAGACATCTTGCAAAGAAAACATTTAAATAATATTCTTCTAGGCTGTGGTCTTCACAAACCAATCTTTTCTGATTATGAGTCCATTTTTCTACTTTGGCTTGCTTCTTATCTAGAATGTCTGTTACAGGACACTTTATGATTTGAAACTATTGTAATATTAAGATTTTMTTTTCAGGTTTGAAGTTTTCAAGATAAATAGTGGGATATTTTGTTTTCTTTAGATTAACATTTTTCTATAATTTTTATAATTTTTATAATTTTCCCATGAATAATAATAATTATAGTTATTTCAATAAATTCTATTATAACTGTTCATCTGCTTTTCATCACAGTGACTGAAATAACTGACAAGAATAAATTAGAGGAGAGAAAGTTATTGTGGGCTTAATTTTAGAGGTTCAGTACATTTTCGGCCAATTCCATTATTTTGGGCCCAAAATGAGGCAGCATATTGTAGTGGGAGGGCATAGTGGAGGAAAGCTACTCAGCCATTGGTGGCTGGGAAGTGGGGGGCAGGGGTGGAGCCAGGAACAAGATATAATCCCAAGAGCTTGTCTCTAGTCACCTACTTTCTCTAGTCATTCCCACCTGCTTATGAATTATTAATCCATCAAGTTGATCAAACCACTGATGAAGTTCCAGCTCTCATAAACCAATCCTTTTACCTCTGACCATTCCTGCATTAGGAAATACCACATTGGATACATTACCCTTAAGCCTTTTATAATTGAGGCATCCTTTTAAAACTTTTTATCATAAAAACAAAAGTGATGGCTCTTTGGGAGCCATTCACACAGACAGAATAGGTGAAGGTAGGTGAGGCCTGGGGGGTGGGGATGGGCCTCTCAGTTGGGACATGTTGACTGTAGGCCTCAGTGGCTGAGGTTGAAGGCAAGCAGTGATGGAGGAGGTGGAGGAGGTAATAATAGAAGCACTTGGGTGCCCCCAGAGAGAGCTGGCTGAGTGATTTGGTGACAGTGACAAWGTACTTTCTCATACAAATGGGGTCTTACCAGAGGTGAAGTGGAAGGATCCTGCTCACCCTTCTTCCTTTTTTGTACAAAATTCCATTGCTAGAAATTGTTTGTATATGATTTTAAAATTTTATGACTTGTTAATTTTATGGTGCTGGGAATGAAATCCATTGGCTTATGCATGTTAGGCAAGCAATGTACTCCTGAGCTACATTCCCAGCCTTGAAATTTAATTTATTTCTAATCATCAGAGTAAAGATGTCCTGTTTTCATCTGAACTTCTTAAAGCATGAAACTATGCATGTTCATGGACACAAAAATTGAGAATTCATTTAAGTATAAAACTTTATCCACTTGGACTTTAGTGTTTTTTTTTTTTTTTTCCTAAAAATGACTTCCCTAGTGTGTGCTTGACTCTTTTACCCTGTATGGMATTTGTGGGTTCAGGACCTCAACTGTCCCTAATCCAGGAAAGCTTGTTAGACCCTGACAGAAATCTTAGTTTGCCCAATCATCTTATCTGTTGTCTCATCAGTTTTCCAAACAACAGATAATTTTAAATTTATTTAGAAAGTAGTCTAATAATGTACGTTGTTTATTTTCCCAGGGACTCTGGCCAAGTCATTTAAAGTGTTGATTTCAATGGAGAGATTTGATTATGTAGCCATATATCTTGTAATAATAAATGATGTGTGAAAATTTTACCTCAAATTGAAATTATTTCCATTTTTCTTTTTGATAAGATGTTTGCCAAATTCATTCTGGGACTGGTTGGAGGTACCACTTTCCTTATGCTAAAAGATGATTGTACTGAAGTCCAGAATAGGTAAGTAAATATRGATATCAATTTGAGAAAATGCTGTTACTGTTTTCAAGCTTATGAACATCCTTTAAATATTTGAATTTATGGTAAATAAATGCCACTGTTTTATTGTGGTAGGATGAGTTAGTGCATTAAAGACTGAATGAAAGAGTTATTTTTATAGATGTATGTATGTATGTATGTATGAAGTAGTGAACTAAACAATTAAAATTTTATACCCTTTTCATCATTCTGAAGTTGATAGTTGGGTGGTATCAAATATATTCCCATTTTGCAGCTACCACCACCATCCAACTCCAGATTATTGTATTCATTTTCCCAAATGGAATCTCCATAAATCAGTAATTCCCAAAATTCACTTCTGCCTGATACTATTCAATTCTGTGTCTCTGAATTTGACTAAGAAYCTTATTATATATTGTACTCCTGTAATATTTGTCTTTTGATGATTG